GGATTCGTTTTAATTGAGGTGAGGGCTGTACTTTATTAATTTAATTTTTATAAGAAGGTTTAATGTCTGTTTTGCATTTAGCTCTTAAGCGGGAGAAATTAATATTATCAGAGACTTTATTAAATTTTTATAGAAGAGAAAAGCAATTCTTTTATCTTTTAATAATGATTTTAGCTTATTAAAATAGGAAATATGACATGGGGACAACATTGCTTATTGCGTCGTATATGATATGATAAAATTGATATAACACTATAACATCAAAAATTGCATGAATTTACATTAAGAAGACGTTATACCCGCATGTGTTGCTCCTTCTTACAATTTATTGCGTAACACTACAAATTTTACGCTCATCAAAGCTCCGTGAGTTTAAAATTTAGAGTGAATTGACCTCTTATAAAAATTAAAGGTAAAATTATTATCGAGGGCTTCTCATGGGCTTCTCATGGGCTTTTTATTATATTTTAATTTAAAAACAAGTTATGAGTATTTTAAAATTGTAAATTGTTTATATATCTTAAAATACTCATAACTCGTTTTAAAATTAAAATATAATGAAAAGCCCATGAGAAGCCCTCSATAATAATTTTACCTTTAATTTTTATAAGAGGTCAATTCACTCTAAATTTTAAACTAACAAAGCTACACGTGTTCTGCTGAGCGTAAAAATTGCTATGTTACTCACTTGTAAGACGGAGACAGCACATTAACGCGGGCATAACGTCCTCTTAATCACTTATATAGTGTGTCGCCAATAAATTAAACAATGTTGACATAATAACAGTTATAAAAGCCATAGATTAAGTCGTGAGTGGTGGTTCAGGTATTATAATTTGATCACAATTGAATGATATATTAATGGCCAATGATGTAATATCCATTGGTATTAACGAGTATAGACGTTGTCATTGGAGACGGATATGTGAATAGATATATACATGCCACACCCACACGTGTTGTTTCAAACGTACAACATACCAAAGGCGGGAAACAACCGAGAAAGCTGTTCTAGTGTTCTGTACGAATCGATTTGGGAGTTACWCATCAATAGCAAAGAATAAAACGAACAATCCAAAAAGCTAAATTGTAATATATTCCTTTTATATTTGGCTTGGGGAATTGTAAAATAAAGTTATTATTACATTCGTATTGTGTTAGTGGCGAGGGGGGAGGAATATAAACGCATCAAATATTAAAAACATTATATCTGAGTTGAATCTGAACAAATATATGCTAAACACTATACTGTAATTATAGCTTTTATAGCAAAATTAATGAAATTACTTTGTGGTATTTTATTGATGAATTTGTCTCATCATTTAAACGACATTCATTTACCTCTTTACGTAGCTTAAGAAAGTGTACACGTTGTTTCAGAACTCTGTCACTGGTTATTCTCACATATTTGAATGATTATTCAGTTTTTAAATGACGATATGAACCAAATATTTTGAAATGTCGGAAGTTGTGTTTAAAGTGGTTTTAAGAGACGATGTTGTCCATTAGAGCATTAGACCATTCAAGTCTTTGGTCTATAACCGGTTTTATGTGGACATTAGACATTGAGTATTTGAAAACAAGAGATTTGTAGTTGATATTATGTCCAAGTTGATGCGTCACCAAGGCTTTTAGGTATAGGTACATTAAATTAAATAATATTTTAATGGCGAGCTAAACGATAAATAAAATCGGAAAAAGAATCTGTCTGGGTAGATTTGCTTATTTCATGTCCCACGAGCAACGATTCGTTGAGTCAAATTAATCAAATTACTACGGAATGCAGATGAGGCGGATTGCCCATTAGGCACTGTAGGCAGCTGCCTAGGGAGGCAAAATTTGAGGAGGTGACAAATTGTGTAGTGTTTATTGAAAAAAAATATTAAACGTATAAATAAAATTGGAAAATGAATTACTTTTTATTTACGAAAAACAGTTAATAATGCGCGTATTTTTTGTATATTTTAAATTTTTGTAGATCTTATATGGTATACGCCATACGGTATATCTATTTATATACTGCAGTGTTTTACATTATGTCCTTAAAAATGATTGTARWTTTGTTGTATTATTGATGGTTCATAATTAATAAAAATAATGATCATTGTACGTTTTTTTCAAAGTAGGCTAAATAACTAAAGGCGAAAACAATGTCTAAAAATTCAAATGGATGTCCTTTAGCTAATATTTAATATTTAGAGTASGGATTTTAGAGGGGTATTGTAACTTGTTCACCTATTATAAGGGTGACAAATTGTTGGTGCCTATAGCTGTATAAAAGGTAAATCCTCCTCTGACGGAATATGTAAGGTATTTTCTCTTTTATAATAATGATAAGTTGTACAGATAATTCATATGGTTTATTCTTAAACGAGTTTAACYAGATAAAGTTTAGTTTAGATACAACTTCTTTATTCAAACAGAATTCATAAGATAGGGAAAATTTAATGCAATTAACACTTAAGATAATCCACATCATTTTGGTCAAGCGTGGAATACATTTCAATTGGAGTAAATTATTACAAACTATACGCACGTAATATAATCATAATAACCACGCGTTTCACTGCGGTTGAACATATGCCGGTAATATGGTATATCTACTTCTTCGTTGCCTWAATKGTTTAAATTCAAATAATTTGTCGAATGTTCTTMAATAATATRGAGAAAAGAGGTAAAAATTAGTAAATTTTAATATTCAATAATTAAATAGTTTCAGCGAATAAGGATTAGAATGAAGAGCAAAGAAATAATAGTAAAAAATAAATCCCTAATGATTGGAAAAAATKATGTATTCTAATAATATATTTGTAGTTTTTTTTGAATATTTTCATTACATATTAATATATTAGAATCCCATTTTTTTATGCTTCCTTATGTAATTTGATTTGTTATTTATTACATATTAATTATAATAATATGTAGTACCTATAACCTGTATAACCTACATTTACTTTTAGATTTCAGTTGAAGTTTTTGTAATTAGTCAATATACTTTTAAATACATTAATATACATTTTTAATATCGTTATAGTGTATGCCTTTTTATCATTTTAAGTAAGTTTGYGGATTATTATATTTTATAGCCAACATTCCTGATGACAGGTGTTGCTGCAATAAATGGAATGATGGCTTGTCTGCAAATGGCACAAGTATARTACACTGAGTTTAACGACATTGCATAGTTTTCGGTTCTCTGATGTGAGCCGATTTACAAAAGAAAATTCAAAAAGAATTACTACAGGAAAGGATCAAACAGATTTACGCATACATTTTGAAAAAAAAAAATGTATAAAATAGAAAGTAGGTATACATCAATAATTAGCAAATAGTATATTTTAACGTAATTTATATTTATTATTAATGTTGTAGGTACCTATATTAAAAGTTATGCATTATTACAAATAAGATTATAAAATATTACATAGACATAGGTAATAGTTCAAAAGTGAATAACACGATTTTTTATCATGGTGGGGAGGRGGTTGAACCCCCAAATCCTCCCCTTGCGCACGGGCCTGCGGTGCAGCAGAACTGCAGAGTTTAATAACCGTTTGGCCTATGGATTCAGATAAAAGTACTGTCCGGATCTGTTGGGAGACAAGCATGGTATTGAAATCAGAGTGAGTCATGAGACAAAAAGYCTAACCGACTCTTATTCCATGTCAATGGTGAGACGCTATACAGTCATAGACAATATTTATATCTTTCGGCTTTCCGAAATGTGTTTAGTTTATTCGCTATCATTTTTCTGTAAAATATCTTCCAGATAGAGTGAAAGACCATGAGAAACTGCGAGGTGGTATTGTATTCGTTGACGACTTGCCTAGATCTCCAGCTGGTAAATTGAAACGAGAAGAACTTCTAAATGTTATACAATAAATGCATATAATTTTTATTAAAATTAAAATTACAATTAAAAGAAAGTAATTGTTTAATATGTGTTATTTGCGTTATTTACACGGTACTCAGATGATTTAAATCTATAGAATAATTAATAATCAAAACAGCTAACATAATAATATTAAATGTTTGAGTTGGTTTTCTATGTATATTCAATATTGTATGTTTATACATGCCATATTGCGTGATTAAATATTTTATAAGTATAAAATTAAAACAGTACAAATTAATAATGTTGAAATAGTGCTTGAATGCTAAATCATTGGATATTAGTTAGGAAGGTGATCCACTTATAACTTAAGATGGATTTCTCAGTACCACCTCATTCAATAGTTCAATACTAAAAGTAAGTAAATAATTGTTATTAATAAAATGTCATTCAGCTCCAGCGGTAACCCTGAACTAAAATTTCACAGTGTTTAAATAAAAAAAAACATTTCTATGAATTAAGACATTAAAATTTTGTTAGAAAAATGTTTAAACCTGTGATATAATTATTAAATGAATTTAAAATAACAAAATATGCATTAATTTTAAAACTGATCAGCTGATTCATTTTAATTATTATCTACACTATTTTATCAAAAAAATGTTGTGCCATCAAATTTTATTAGCTTAGAAAAATATTACTATGTCAGACGTWTTACATAATACAATATGATAAATTCAAATTTTTACTAAAATAATATTTAGGTAATTATAATTTGAAAAAGTGTGAATTTGGTATAGATCYTTATTTCTTGGCATTAAATAAATCMAATTGTCTAAATGTTTAGCTGCTTAAGAGGACGCTATACCCGCATGTTTTGTCTCCATCTTACAAGTGCGTAACATTGCAAAAACTGTTTCGCACGGCAAAGAACTGAGAAGGCTACAGTTATAACTAAGAAACGAAATTTTCACCACATAATAAGGAGAWCATTTACTGTGCAACRTTSTTTTCAATTTTTCGATATCACAAATAGAAAAAAAGTTCTAGATGTTTCAAAATTCATTATTTTTTGCGTTTTTCAAAATCGAATAACTTTTTTTTCAGTTTTAATATGCACAGTCAAAATTCCCTTTTATTTGTGGTGAGAATTTCGTTTCTTAGTTATGACTGTAGCCTTCTTGGTTCTTTCCCGCGCAAAACAGTTTTTGCAATGTTACGTACTTGTAAGACGGAGACGACACATGCGGGTGTAGCGTCCTCTTAAGGTCTGAAAAGAAGCTAAGTCACCAAGCGGCCAATTTTGTCAGAAAATCTCTATAACAAATGGAAATTTGTATAATTGTCGAGCTGTCATAATTATCAACTAATATAATTATTATGAGTTTGAATAATATTTACTGAGCATATTGTAATATAGCAGGGGTGGCCACTAACCTTAACTTTGGGAGCCGCAAATTTATAAAGTTAATTCGAGGTGAGCCACACATTGTAAAACAATGTTTATAAATTAAAGATACATTTTTCATTTTAAAACAAATGAAGGAACATGTATTTACTTTTAATTTTAGTCTAAGTTTGGTTCAAGAGCCTCACGAAATTGATTTAAGAGCCGCATGCGGCTTGCGGGCCTTGTGGCCACCCCTGTAATATAGTATGATATTAAAGTATTTTAATGCTATAAGTTATAAGTAATATATTAGATTGAATTAATAATTGCCAAAAATATTCCATTAAAAAAACTATGTGTGTAAAAAATATAATACTTATACTTTCAAGCCCCCACAAATATCACGAGTATTTTTAAATTACAATAAAATAATCAAAATTTTTAGTCATAGTTTAAAATTTTAGACTTTAAATTTCATCTAAATTTAAACTTGGAACATCTATAAAAATTACATTATAGATATTTTATTATAGATGATAGATTTTATTTTGTTATAGTTTTATTTATTAATTTTTTTTGATTTTTTGGTTAAAGTATGAACTACTTATGAGAAACCTTGTTATACATTTTGTCCTAAGCCGTAAAAATTAAATATTTTATACATTTTTACTACAAAATGTTATTTTTAATGAGCAAAAATATTTGTTATATTCCTAACTGTGAATTTTTTATTAAAGATTATTACGTAAAAAATGAATCAAATAATAAATTTATATTATTAAAAATGTACAAAAAAAAAAATGTTTTAAAACAAATAATTATTTTCTTTTCTTTTTTAGTTTATTCATTTTTCTATTTTCTTTTCTTATTTTAGACGCCATTTTAGGATTAGCCATTAATATATTCTTGTAACGTTTTTTAGTTGTTTGCTTAAATTCCGCATCTGCTAAAAGTTCATCGACCATTGTACGTTTTCGTTCTTTATTAGTGAGACGACCAGATTTATATTCCAATGGAGAATCAATTACTGTTCCAACCTAAAAATACATAACATAAATACGTTTTAGAAGAATTTTTATTTGAATAAAATATTTTAAAAGTTTACTTGAAAATATTTTGGATATGCTTCGGTTTCGTTCTTTTTATAAAACCGTTTAGTATCTAATGCTGATCTCATACGAATTAAGTCAAGATCATGTCGAACACTGTCAGTCAATTTAGTTGCTGGTAAATTAAACCAATCTTTGCCTTTAGTCTTTGCTTCTTCTTTCTAAACAAAAGTATAGAACATAATATATAGTATTATTAAATTCAAGTAAAATGAAATGTTTTCTTATGAATAGTTAATGTATATTWTGTAAATAAAACTCTTAAGTCTAAATGATTGCATTTCTTAAGATTTACCAGTCATTRATTGAATACTATTTACAGATTAATCGTAGAACATTATATTTTAAAATCAGATACTAACAGTAATATGTTAGCTGATGCCATATTACCTCACTGAGTATCATTAGATACTAAATACAAATAAAGTGAAATTCCTATAAAATGTTTAAAAAAGAAAAAAATTATACTTCCAGAGGAAGCAAAAGAACATTATAGTACACACTAATATTAAAATTATTTTTTCTTAGGTCTTGAATGCATAACATCATGTTAATAGATATATAAATATAAATTTTAAATATTTTATAAATTATTATATTATTATACACTAGAATATAATTCATCTATATCAACTACAGACAGAATTATATAAAATGATTAAACTAAATTAAATTGACAAGGAGTAACTATTTATTTTGACAATTCAGAAAATGTATGTCAAAACAAATTTTTTAAATTAATGACATACTTATAGTTTATTGATTTCAACTTTTCAATCTAGTGTTAGATTGCATTATCGATTTGACTATTAATTATTAAATAAACAAAACAAGTCCATACGCGAAGAACATAGAATACCTTTTTATTTCTTTTGATGACCTTTTTGCTCTTTTCGTTCACTGGTACTTTGTAATTTTTTTGGAAACCAGGTTTCAAGACACTCTGTCCCAGCAGTGCGTCGACAGCGTCCATGCTTTTTGTCAGAAGAACAACTTACAGTTGACCGTGCTAATATTATTGTATTGATATGTATTTCTATTTTCTATTAAATAATCAATAAGTCACATGTCGGAAATTCGGTACAGTACTATTAACTACTAAAGTACTAAGTAGTAGAACACTAAAAAYAGTTTAAAGCGTAGTGTACTTTACTACCAAAGTGTGGCGTAGTGATAGTGAAAGTGAACTATTAAAAATTTAGTGACCGAATTTGTTGCTGGATCGAGTGATAACTGATAACGATAAGAAACTAAGAGGTTACAATCAAGGGGAATTTATAAATTAACTTTGGTTACAATTTAATATTTCCACTTTGCCAAAGAACTTCAAATTCAAAAACTGCGAATTGTTGGTGCATGATAAATAGTTTAGTAACTGCTGAATGTTGATATCAAAATCAATCGACATTCGTCATCAAAACCACCTTGGTGTAGAATTACTAGAATTGTGTTTTACACTGAGTATTTTTCAGATTCGTTTATAATCTAGATCTAAGGTTAGATGCCTTATCTTTGTAAAGCTTTTTGATTTTTTCGTTTCTACCATTCTACCCTTTGGTCACAATTAAACACAGAAGACAGAATATGTATTGAAAACAAAATATGTGTCTATACAAGAATTTTCCAAAACTCCAAAGACTAAATGTATTAATATTGGTTTTGTGGAGTGTTCAATTCGTTTCTAAATATTATTTTTTTACGATTGATTCATTGATGAGTCAATATGTAATTATTAATTCTTCAATCACGATTAAAAATTAGTCATATACTTAAAATGACCTATAGTCTTAAGATTCTTTTTAGTTTTTAAGTGTTTAATATTACGGATTGAACTAACCATTAGAAAATATATTTAAAATAAAATTTTGTCTTGGATCCTCCTTGATTTAAGTAGAAGAATTTGTAATCAAGTAAATTGATAATTGATATAATTATTTCATGGTTCGTGATTCATGGTTTATGTTAAATTCGTATTTCCATTTCAATATTATTCTACGGTAATAGACTGTTCTATGGTAATAGCAATAGCACAGATTATATAATCTGTATTCTGTGGTAATAGGACATAATATAGACATATAGCAGCTGGTAATATGAAATTTTATATATTCATTATATTCTGTGATATTAATTATTAGGGTATGTTGTTTCCTCCATGATTTAGGAAACAAAATGGTAGACTGTCGCAGGACACAAACACAACTATTTACTCACAAGCACAACCACAATTTTGTTATAATATAATATGACTCGACTATTCGAGATTCGAGTTCCATGTATTCAGATCACACTTAATCGTAATTGTTTAAAAATTTCGATTTTACTTCATATTGTTTGATAAACTCATTAATGCGTAATGATTAATGAAATATGAAAATATATATCAATCTGAAGTTTAGGAAATTTTGTCAATTTTGAACGCTATTGAAGCTATTCGCTAAAATCGGTTAGGTAATTACTATAAAAACAATGTATTTAAGAATGTATCAATAGCGAATAATGACATAATAGTGTTACACCATATTTGTTTGGTGATCATGATATCTAGCAGTGAAAAAAATCAACGAAAAACATATATACTATAATTAAGCGTATTAACTTACTCGCGCGCGTCCAACCTGAAGATTGTTTTAACTTTAAATTATATTAAGAAATTAATTAGAAAATAACAAGTGACGATATTCAGGAATTGGAGAAAACGCATATATTATATTTTCATATTTCAAATATGAATTCATTTTTTAATAGTGTATGACATATATCTTCGGAGACTTAATAAAATCCAACGCTCGATAATATTTAACAATAGTACTTAAAAGTTAAATCATAATCATAATAATAAGTTAAATAGTATTTTAGTAATATGCACTAAGTACGTATGGAGACATTGGACTCATTGGAGTTAAAACGATTAGCGGGTTTCGACGACGGCTGTTCAAAAATAATATTATATTGCTACGATTCAGCGTAGAATCTGATAACCGTTTCACCGATAACGCCGCACTTCCATCGCCGGCAAGTCGATTACTCAGTATCGAAAGAGTATTATTATGATATTTTTATCTTTATAGACTCGCCACAATATTATTAATTATTATATTATTGATTAATTCTTGTTTACGTAGCGAAAATTAAATGCGATTAAAATCATGCATCGAGTGTCAACTGTTAATCCGCCGACGACATGACGATGTGGTACCTATATCGGTAATTTATGTTTAAAAAAAAAAAAAAAAATTTGGGAAAAAATTTGGTAAAGAGTGCGCGGCGGCCGACCAAGTCTGACGGTTTCGTTGCGTCGGCGTGTCACGATCGCGTAAATTGTAAAACGTCTCAAGCGTGGTTCGGTTGATAAAAATATTATAATCATTACTTGTATTCGAGGACGCAACTGCGATAATAATTTTAAAAAAAACTAGTGGCGCGTGGGCGTTTAAAATAAGGCGGCTTACTGGTATATAATAATTGAAAGGTTTTGAAGTCGTTTTAGTATTTAGAATGAAAATAACCAAGATTAATACTATATCCGAAGAATGGCGTTTACGTAGCTATATTGTGTCTGGAGACCGATTCTCCATAGATTATTGTGAATCACCGCTAAAATATTATGTCGAACGTCCCAGAAAATACATTTTTCTAATTATTGTTATAATATTACGCGGATCTAGTGTAGACACAATTCTACTGGACTTTATGTTTTGCGCCATCGCATTTCTATTATTATAATATTATGAATGTATAACGTATAAAACTATAAAACCGTGTAGTCTACCGGCGCACAATGGCCGCGTACGTAATCGCCGTCGACCGTCGTTCTCCTCAATGGATTTTTACGCCATTGTGTACTGTTATACCTATTATTCTACGTGTGTATATATTATATACATATGTAACATTGCATATTATAATATGTTGTTTTGAACTCCATTCTCTAGAATAAATCGTTAGAACTTACACAGGTACATTTCGTTAATTTTGTTTGGACGGTCCAGTATATTATATCGTATAGGTTTACAATGGATTTGTTTGGTTTGCCGGTCGATTGTCCCATCGTCTGACCGCGTATGGTTTATAAACGACATACCTACGTGTTAAAAATTAAATATTAATATGCTACAGCGTATCAAACCAAAAATAGTGTCAAGTCTACACCCAAGAGTAGTATAATACTATTATTATAAATTATTATAATGCATATGACAGGTTAACACTATTAAAACTCAGAAGAAAATAGTATAAGCTATGTTTCCTGTTTCAGGGAAGAGTGAAGACCCTCCACCCAAAAATGAGCAACAGAGCACCCTCTATCCGTTAATCGGCATCCCTCGAAAACGCTCCGAACTGTATATTTCATCCGTACAGCCGTAAGAGTATATTATTATTACCGGTATTATTTGGTAATATTCGTTAATCAGCGGTCCGGCCGAAGAATCATATTTATTTCTTGGAAAGTCAGAATAATTATCAAGACGCAGACAAAAAAAACCAGTCTACATTGCGATTTTTCCGAATTTTTATTTTTATCTTCGAGGAATAATATAACTATAACCTATAAAGTATAAATGCAAACAAGAGGCAACAGCGATCAGCGATCGTCAAAACTCGCAACGTTTCATTATTAGCCATATCATATTAGTCTAATGGTTTTATGCGGCGTTACGGCTGCCTAGCACTAGCCCAAAATAATAATAATATAATAACGTTTGGTTATTTCCGTTTAATAAATCGATCGTCGGCGTTCGTGTAGCGTCCTATAATACTCATTATTCATTTGTGGTTTTTATAATATTATTATTTATTATTACACCGCCGGCATCTGGCACGCCGCACGCGTCTTGCAGCTGCTCTGCCAAAGTACACGGTGTCAGTGTGTGTCACGTACACTTGAAAGACGAAAAAATAAATTATTAAAAATTTTGTTGACGTTACGACTACTGTGTACCTCCGCCAAGTAATCGGCTATACTAGTGGAAAGGAGGAGATATTTACTTTCTCGCCCGTTTCGATATTTCGTACACGCATTAATGCAATTTAATGTATATAAATATTGGTAATTATCAATATAATTTATTGTGAATGTGCGCAACAGATTAACTTGAACTTGGGAATTTCCGAACAAAAATACACAAAAGCAGAAGAATCGTGTATAGAACTTGAGTTATAAGCATTAAAAATTTGTATCCTTATGATCAGACAAAACATTTTAACGACTGATTACAACTTACAAAATGTAGTTAATGGGAGGTGCATAATGGTTTCAAAATACGTCCTGTTTTGGATATCTGAGTACCAAATTCTAACACGTTAGAAAACTGAATAGCCAAACTGCTTAACAGTTAGGAAAGTATAACAAACAACGCGAAGTCCATAGAGTACGTACTACGTGGACACGGAATTTTGAATCATCGATCGTTGGGTGAAAAATACAGCGACAGTCATTGCAATAATGACCATATCATAAAATTGTTATTGTTTAAATTGGCATATTTAATATTATTATTACGAATGACGATCAATGGGATACAAGAAGAGAATTCGACTTCGTATTTAGTATTTACTATATTATTATTTATCATATTTTACATTTATACGATTGCGAAAAGACGATTTTATAAACGGGTGGTGTGACGGCGGCGGTCAACCAATATCATATATTCATATGTATAAATCATATTATACGTTTATAGTATCATAAACGTTATGTTATGGTTGAATTGTTGATTTTTCTCTCCCGCCATCTAAGTCGTAAACCCGCCAAAATAAACCCAATATAAACGAATGGTAGGTATAGTAATAATAATAATAATAATAATAATAATAAAACGTACGGTAGAATAATGTGAAAAGAAAAAGATGTATAAAAAGCGAGCGAAACTGTCAGGATTACAAGTGGAGGCGGGTGGTCGTGAACGACATGAACTCTTGTTGTTCGGTGGGTCGGGGGTCGGAGGGGTCGCAAGCGTCGTGAAAATATAAAAGCCGAACGGCGTTGCCAACTGCAGAATTGTTTACCAGGCAACTCTTGCTATTGGTCACACTATCCAGATGTCGCCATGTCGCATTGGCTCGACCGATCGAGGTCACTGCGCATGCGCTCTTACGGTTCAACGGTTTTCACCCACGCCGACAAGATCCAAGAAATCGTGATCGATGCCCATTCGATTTTGGCGACTTGGGGCCCTTAAAAACCATTCGAAACGGAAGTTTTCACGAAGAGAGCATGTTAGAAATCTTCATTCGTAGTTTCCGTGTAATT